AAAGTACTTCAGTACTAGTAATCAGTCTATTACATGTATTTATCCATCACAGGTCAATGAGAATACGAGAGCATAATGTCAACAGTTTGAAATTGATTCGTAAGCCATATCGAGTTCACGACCTTTCAAAAATACTTCAAATGACAACCGCGTGAATTAAAACTGACCTATTTCCTTTCAACTTTCAATCAATCGAGAGCAAGTAACGGAAAAAGACGTATAATAAATACCTATAATATGTAACTACCCGATTACGTATTCTGATCGCAACTCGGGTGACTATTTATAGGCCAACGTGTTCAGCTCTCTGGCTATGAAAACTGGGAATTGTTTATGAATGAAGGGAGAATTACAAAATCCAGGCAAGGAACTTTTTGCGGTTATTTGTGTAGTATTGAAGTATTATCTAACATAGATACCGCGCTTCAAGCAAAGCCAACAAAGTACATGTTTTGTCTGATATCGACTTTTTTCGGTTTAAAAAAGACTTTTAGCTTATTTTCCGCCCGCTCACATTTGAAAGCAAAATTAATATTTACTTTTCTTTTCATCTTACGGGAAAAAGGTATTTTTTCTTTAAAAAAACAGTTTAACCAAAGAAAATTAAGTTTTCTGTTCATAGTGACTGGGTTAAATAGACTTTAAGACAGAACAGAATTTCGCTATGTTTTTTGAACGACAATTTTTCTAACCGAGTAGATAAATGTAGATCAACTTCTAGATTGATAGACAGTTGGTCTTATCAGGTTGTATTCATGAAAAAACAGTAAACTTACCACAGATTTCAATATCCGGCTAAAAAAAGACCTTTTCCCACTGGAAACTCATTCTTCTTAGACTTTGAAAAGGGCAAAATTTCATCAGCAATCACTTAATACTAAAAGGCTTCAAAGCGTTAAATTTTAATCAAAACGTCATTTTTACTCAATCTTTTTCTGTTCCAGTTAAAACAAGCGGACTTTTGTAACCCTTCTCCGGTCGACCAGTCCTCATAATCGACATGGACTACTCATGTCCGAAAAATCGCACGGCCGAAAAACCAAACGTCCAAAAATTTCCACTTGAACTGTCCGAAAGGAGACCTCTCTGTCTATGGAACTTTCGAAAAGTAAATTCTGATCGGCTACAATAGTTTTCGCCTTTGAGAGATTTCCTGTCAATCAATCATTATAATTTTCTACCTATCACATTTTGATATATAATATGGAAACATCAGAAGAACGCAGTAATATATAAAAACCAGGTCTAGTAAACGGACTGAATCCAGGCATGAAAAGACATTCGATCACAAATGATTTATTTTCACCTCTCGGATTCAATTTGGCTTGCAACAACTTGAGCCTAGCGACCTTCATATTCATGGAAATTATGTTCAAACTTATGGTGAAAAGAAAAATTCAGTTGCCATGACAATTTAATAACTCAATGTCAGTATCATTGGATTAATATCAAAATGGTAGGCTACTCTCAATCTTGCAGCCGAAAACTGAATTGTAGACTGTCTGCAATGAAAAAAAGAAATGCCGGGGATAGGGATACACAGTCGTCAAAATAATAAAACTGCTCTTAACATAATTGTGAGAAGTATCATAGCAACAATCATAATCTAATTCAAATTATTTCACCCCATATTTCTAGGTAAGCTTTTACGAAGTTGGAAACATAATTGAGACCTTTTATTTGAAGAAAAGACGGAAAGGATTAACATGTGGGCTGGAACATTCAAGCAAATTTAAGGTTGATTTCCGGGCTGAAATATTTCCTCACCCGCACCAAACAAGCGTCTGACAGTGTACCTCGAACAACCGACCTTTCGGTTGAGGGACGGAGAACTTATGCCCTTTATCGACGCTCCACGTCGAAAAAATTATTGCCAAACATCCCGAAATGCGAGCACTAAATTTCATTTCAATTCTTCTACCACCTGGTCTCCAAGGGGATTCCAAGAAATAGAGAGATTTTATCCGCCACGATGACAAGTCATGTTTCAACTATCGAAATTCAAATAAAAAATATTTGCCTTGAAGCTCTTTGAACTTCAAGAGTAATTTATGATTAATAATTTTTCGATGAAAGTAACCCAATTTGCGAAAACTGAATAAATAGGTAAAACTTTTATTCCGAAGAGAAAATTGAAAACTTAAATCCACTTTCGAAACTAGAAGTCAGTCAAGTTTTTCGTGACCTTGTACAGTTTAGCTGATCGATAGGGAGTTTGTCTTGCTTCAAACAAAGGAAATGAAATGATTTTAAAAAGAAATCAGAAGTTGAATCGCGAAAAAATCAAATTTTAATGTAAACAAAATTTAAGACTTTTCCTGAAAAAAGAAAAACATCAATAAAAAAACTCATCAAGACCTATATTGGAGTCTGAACTATGTTCATTGACTCCTAAAAATAATGGATTTGCAGCGGATGTTTTTGAAGTTAGATAAAACGTGGTTACTTTTTTTCCTGAAAAAAGACACTGAGACCTATGTAAGTGTTCACAACAAACATGACTCAAAACTAAAACAATTAATGACAAAAAAATAATATTACACAAAAGTGAAACTGCTCTACGCAAATATAAGCAAAATATGGAGGCAAAAACGGTAAACGAAAGCTTTAGAATTGCATGTGAAACTGCTAGGAAAATACAAGTTTACACAGTAGTAAAGCGGATCTACGCTCCATTTGCGATACAAAAAGATATGTTGTAAAACTTGAAAAATTGAACATTCGGAAAACTGCAGCACTTTTCTTACTTTAAAACCCTTCAGTTCTTTCAGGTCTAACCAAAACACATTTGACAAACTCAAAACAAAGGGAAAACAACAGTTTAAGAAAAAAGGAAACATTGGATATCCGAAATGGTAAAACTAAAACATATAATCAAAAACTTCACCAATTAAAAGAACAGGAAAAAAACGGCTGGTTAATTTTTCCAGCATTTCAAAAGAAAAAATATACGGCGACCTAAAAACTAGAAATAAGCCTCGAATTTGTATAAAAAAAAACTTTGGCAACCTCAAAGATTAGAACCTGCGATCAAGAGATTAAGAGACTCGCGCACTAACCACTCAGCCACGAAAGCTTAATAGGTACCAAATACTAACCACAATTTAAGCAGAGAACAGATGCCTTGCAATTTCCATGCTAATGGCATATCGTTTTAACACACTAGGCTGATCGCAAGTGTAACAAGACTGCTCGTATCAGGGCCAAGCCCTGAATGTTCCGACTGCTTTTGAAGGTTTATGGAGCAGCAGTAATAACATAAAAACATTAAATGAAATTTAAAAAAAATAAAAAATTTTTATTCTAAATTTTGAAATTTTTTATGAAAATCATCCCCCCACACGCCTTATAAAGTACAAAAAGATAGTTTTCGCTCCTCGTAACACATCAATTATGGCAAATAAGCTTCGTTCAACCAACTTGGAACGATTTATAAGACGGATTAAATCTCCGCTTACGCGTTAATAGCGCGAACTATATCGCGCGTTAATTGTCCCAAATTGGTCAAAATGGCCAAAAAGGCAATATTTAAACCCTCATAACTTTACGAAAAATAATCACAGGGGAAATATCTTTTCAAATTTAAGCTCAGGACAACAATACCTTTTGAATGATAAAAAATTCCGTCAAAAATGGCTAGTTAAAAAGTCGAAATTTGTGTGAAGAAAAAAAAACCCACCCCGAGCACAAATATTCCGTTACTTTCGTATCGAAAGTCAGAACAATAAACTTTCAAATTACAGAAATTTCAGATATAGTCTGTAGTTTTTATTTCAAAATAAACTCTTTTTTTGAAAAATAAGCAAAAACAATCTACCATATTATATACATGATATTTAAAAAACGGAAAATGAACCAACGAAAACAAGGACGAAAACCACGAATCCGAAAAAAATCAATTTTTCAAGAAATTTATTTGAAGAAAAAATACTTCATGAAATGAACTCCACCTAATAGGTACCTAACCTACATGATGGCAGTGTATTTATGTTTTCAAGAAAATGAGTATATTTACCATTTCTACGAAATTTTTCATTCTCTAAACAAGGTTATAAGCGAACCAAAAAAAACGTCTAGAACCCGGTTGCAATACCCTTGCTGACCGCAAAGGTAGTAATGTGCGGGAATCGAACCATTGACCCGGAGATTACGTATCACACGTCCTCGCAACTGCACCATGGTTGCTTGACAATAGACAAACACTAGCCACCAGTACAGATAATATAATAGATGCTACAAAAAAACCAAAGCTAAGCAGCAAAATTCCACCAAATGAGCAATTTTATTTGCTAGTTGGATGAGAAAAAAAGGAATTTGTGAAATAATAGTAGTCTAGCAAGTAAGCTTGTGTAAAAACTATTCCAGAAATGGTTTATTCTACTTTATGGGTCTTGTATAGCCTTGTGTGACATCACAATTTGAGATAAGAGCCGTTTCAAAACAACAAACTGAAGATTTATAAAGAATTTCCGGATAGTTAACTCGAGATGTGCACAAAACAATACGACAACAACAATATGTTAATTAAATCAATATAAAAAATAAGAAAATCAAAACATGTAACAAAGTTGACAAAAAAACTGCTGAAAATTCTTTTGACTTCTTTGTAATTTCAATTTTCAACAAAAATTGTGATCGTATATGACTATGTGCTACAAGCCTTTGTTTTGTTCCTGTCACACATTTGAAGCAAAGAAAAATGATCTTTTTAGTTTTTCTTATTTGTAAGGTCGAACTTTCTGTGCTACTTGCACGGTAACCAACCGCCTACTCTTATTTGAGATGTAGTTAATGATAAGTTCAAATATACAATAAGTTTTCTTATGAACTTCTTTGAATAAAGCACTGAAATATGATTTTTCTATGCCCTTTTTCCGAAAATCTATCAGGAAAATTTCATCGTCTAACAATCGATCAAAAAGTTTTAATTTGATTTTTTTTTGACATCGACAGTTATTTTGTAACGACACATCTTAGATCCAGTTGATGTAAGAACTCACCAAGAATTGAACAAATCTCATCGTTCCTCAAATGAGCCAGGACATCATTATTGTCAACATTATTTTCATTGGCATTCTCATCAGTACTTTTTTCTTCCACTACACCTTTAGGCGTGGACAGGAGTTCATTTGCAGATGCTTGTACTAAGCAATCCATTTCATCGTTTCCTGATTCGAAATCTTGGCTGTATAGTTCTTAAACAGAAAAACCTTTCAGGATCTATTTGATACCGCTCCCTGAAAAATCCTTTATTATAATATTCTAGAGTCCTTTATTATAATAATCTGGAATTATTCCAGCTTTAAGGAACAATTAACCCTAAGCTGAATACATTTTATACATTGGATTAAGAACCTCACTTACTAAGGTTAGAGTTAAAATGTATCATTTCTAGTTCTTCTTCGTCCTGGTCAGAAATGATATCAACCAGGGATCCGAAGTCATCACTTCCGTCGTTATTGCCAGAAGTTTTCTGATCCTAAACATTTTAAGACATCGGTTTTCATTGGCGATTTAGCCATTGGGCGACCAATTTTACTGACCTTAATATCGAGCACACAATCATATCGCTCATCGTCGAGTGATGCTTGTTCAAGAAGATGCAAAAGCTTAGGAACTTCTTGCTCAGATACTTGCATTGTTCCCAGTATATAACCGCTCTGATGTCAACCAGATCCACTCCTCGGACTCCCTCTTTTGCTCGGTAATTAAAAATCTTACTAAAATGCGCATGAATTACGGAAAATTTACATTTTTAAAAGGATTGTAACTTGATGAAATCCTGATTTCAACAATGCCAAATATCCGCAAGAGGGCGACTAAGAAATAACCTATTAATAATTAATGGAAAAAAAAACATGAAAGTTCTGTTGAACCCCATCTCTCATTGAATCATACTGAAACTGGTTTTTAATCCTTGAAAATCAATGCACAGTATTGTAAAAATTCAAATTATTATGCTTTACATTTTCACTTTTTCGAAAGCAGGAGCGGGAATTTATTGGAAATGTTATAGCCTGTCTGAGAATTAGTAGACAGAGACTCAATGTCCGGCCGAACTAAAAAATGTACTGAAACAGTGCAGCGACTATCTAGACGAGCTATTAAGAAATTAGAACCAGTTTCTTCTATCAACAATTATGATCTAATTCGATGAGTTGGTTTCGATAACTATGATATATTTGATGTACATGTTAACTATGAAACTCTAAAACTAAGTAAGTAATCTTATGAAACTAAACTAGTGATTATGAAACTCTAAAAAAGCTTGTGCAAATGTTGGTTTTCTCCAGCTTCATTCCCTTACATCCGACTCTCTTTATTTTCTATCTACATTATTCTGTACTCTTCCATATCTAGTAAATTCCTCGGATTTTGACTGAATAATGTGATGAAGGGAGGCCTGACAGAAATCTTGGTTACTATGATGCTTTCGACCTTCTGATTATTTAAAAAAAACCTTAATTTGGTGATAAACTCAATATGGATTAGTAGTATTCATGGCGATTAAACGATAGCTTCAGTTAAGGAATAGACATTTGTCTTCTTGGAACAAATCAGTTCAGTTCATTCAGATCATATAGGCGATTTTTGTCTCTTTTGATCAGCTCGTTTTGTTGGTGATTTGTGATACATGTGGAGCAGTATCATAAGAAGATGTATCTGATGTAAATGTAGTAAATGACTTTATGCTGATGAATTCCATAGTCAATAGTTTCATGTATTTTGTCATAACGAGATTTGTTATTTTCTTTCGGCTGCTGACTTTTGCTTCATCGTCGAAAATTGTTCCTGATTTTTTGGTTTTCTGTAAAGCAGAGTGGATCTTAAAAGGATCGAAAAGGTACAACAATCCTGGTATCTAAGCGATTGGGATATAAAGAACAACTAAAAAGATTGTCGCTTCTACCCTTGTCACTTTACCACGAAATGCACTCTGATTTTTTTTATTGAAATAATCAAACGCAGATTCAACATCGAGTGGAAACCGTTTGTCGAAATAAGCGAAACACCGCAAAATACACGAGCTAGCGAGTTGAAAGTATATAAAACAAAATTAATGACAAAAATAAAACAAGATAGAGATTTCTATTCTTGAGGAGTTTTCCTTGCAAATGCTATTGGTCAAAAAATAGGCCTAAATTTAGACGAAATAAATCATCCAAAAAGCAAAAAAGCAGAATTATATAACAGTTATTTCGAATCGGAATTTAATCTCGAAGCTGTCAAAAGCTGTAGAAACCAACACAAACTCAAATGATCTTTGGCAAAACTTAATATCCGTTGGGCGTTTGCCCTTATTTCTGTTTTAGAATTATTATTATTATTATTAAGTAGAGTTCTTATACATTTATATTGTTTTCAATGAGATTCTTCGTTAAGCTTATCATTTTTTTGGTCCATTTAAATGCAGATGTGTGCATGTTTTTCGAGTCTAAGTGGACTTCCCGACCAGACTATTTGCTTACGTTATCTCCACAGCTAATTAATCATATAAAAATCTCTCAAATACGATAAAAAACAATTCTTTTGGGTCACCACCTGAGAAGAATCAGTAGCCAAAGCGATTCTACCCATATCAACAGGCTCAAATCTTCTTGTGGTCGTGGTCAGTCAGCCTCCATTAGACATACTGAAGACGTACACAGATGATCTCGTTCACTTGACCTTCAACTCTAGAAAACACCAGCTGCGGCTTGAAGAGTGTGACCCACGCATTTCAATGTGAAAAGACTAGACTAGACTATAAACTTCAAAAAATAGGCGGTTGGTTGCGGCTTATTGAATTTGCCCTGATCATGAAAAGGGCTAGAAAATTGTCGCCTGTAAGTGCCTCCGAACACAATTTCGTAGTTAAAAATAGATGCAGCGTCAAAGACAAGATTATTGAGCCAGTTGAAAGAGCGTGGACGCCAAGTAACTGGCAGGATCTATATAGTGGAATTTCTAGAATGAGATCAGCAGTTGCAGCGCCTGTGGATACAATGGGCTGTGACATTATTAGAAGCGTAGATTACGATGAAAAAACCAATCGATACCACGTTTTGGTCTCTCTCATGCTGTCCAGTCAAACAAAAGATGAAGTTAACAATGCAGCAATGGAACGATTGCTGCAGCACGGTCTTACTCCTACCAGAGTTAGCAGTACCAATGAAGATGAATTGGGAAGTTTAATCAAGCCTGTCAGTTTTTGGCGAACGAAAGCGAAGCATATCAAGCAGGCCACTGAGATATGCTGCAGTCAGTACAATTCTGACATTCCTCCTGACTTAGAGGGATTACTTGCTCTCCCCGGTGTAGGCCCTAAGATGGCCTATCTTGCCATGAGCTGTGCATGGAAGAAGATAGTGGGAATAGGAGTAGATGTGCATGTTCACAGAATTAGCAATAGACTGCAATGGGTGCCGAAACCTACCAAAACTCCAGAGCAAACGCGACTAGAGCTGGAAAGTTGGCTTCCACAACAATACTGGGGCGAGGTCAACCATATGTTGGTCGGTTTCGGACAAACTGTTTGTCTACCAAAGAAGCCCAAATGCAGTGAATGTGCAATAAACAACCTATGTCCATCTGCTTTTAAAACTAAATGAAAGAACTCAAGAGCGCATCAAACCTTTGTTTGCGCGAATCAAATTTCTGTTGTTATGTATAAATGAAATCGTACATTCATTACCCTTGCGATTACCTGGAGTATTATAACGGGTAAAGAGTATTTCAACGATTTCAAAAACTCAATAAATTCCACAAAAGTTTTGGCAATGCTATTCCTTGTTGTCACGGGCGGCCATTTTTTTAAAGTTTGATTAACGCTTTGACCGCACAGGAAGGCGGATGTAGACTCAGCTTTGTCTTGATAATCGAAAATGGGATATGGAAGTTCTGGGTTAGTCATAAAATTTTGAAACAATACTTCTGCAGTCAAAATTTTTTCTTGGCACACGTTTAAAAAGTCCTTATATTGTTGGTCTGTTAAAAGGCCACAATCTTGCAAGGGTTGAAAAGTTTACTCAAGTCGACGTTTCAAAATCTGTTGGAGCGCAAAATCTGTTTTCCTATCTTCGCTGTATTCCTAAATACGGTAAAATTTTTGTTTCACAATTTACCTAGCTCAATTTGAAATTCTGAACCCTATAGTGGGGTGCTGTCAATGTGCACTCCGAGGTTGCAAATCTGGCGTCCGAGTTTGACTGCTCAAATCCTTTTGGTTTTCGAAATAAGGCTTTTTTATGATTTAAATTTTTTTGTTAAACAAAATTAACATATAAAAAACTAGCCGAACTTGAAAATCTCAAGCCTAAAGTAGGATGCTGTCTGGGTGCACTCAGAGGTTGCAAATCGTGGTCCAAGTATGACTGCTTTAATTCATTTGATTTTAAAGTTTTTTCTTTTTTAAAAGTTATATATGAAACAAACTAACCGAACATGAAATTCTCGACTGTATAATGGGGCGCTGTGAGGCTACATTCAGAGGTTGCAAATCGGGTGGCCAAGTGTAACTGCCCAAAACCCTCTGGTTTTCGAGATATTGCGTTTTTTTTGTTTTTCCAATATATTTTTTTCAACAAACGAATAAAAAAAAAGAATTCGAACTTGAAATTCTCAACCCTATGGTAGGATGCTGTCACATTACACTCAGAGGTTGCAAATATGGCGTCCAAGTATGACTGCTCTAATTCATTTGGTTTTCGAGATAGGGCGTTTTTTTATGATTTTTTTAAAAATAAAATAATAAAAAAACTAACCGAACTCGAAATTCTCAACCCTGGGTGGTCTCAGGGAACACTCAGAAGTTGCAAATCTGGCTTCCAAATATCTCTGCTCAAATCTTTTTCGTTCTCCAGATATGGCGTTTATTATGATTTTTTAAAATGTTTTGCAAAAAAGTTGAATATAAAAAAAATATCCGAACTTGCATTTCTCAGCCTTACGGCGGGGTATTGTCAAATACTTTTCAGCGTCCTTATCCGGCCTCCAATTATGACTGCTCTAATTCTTTTGGTTCCCGAGATTTGGCGATTTTTTCCATTTTTTTTAAAAAAACTTGACTGAAAAAACCGATATTGAAATTCTCAAACATAATGGTGAGGTTTTGTCAGGGGACACTGTCAGGGTACAAATCTAGCCACTTTTAAAAAGAACTAATAGAAAGTAAAATTTTCAACCCTATGGTGAGATGCTGTCAGGGTACATTATAGGGTAACAAATCTCCCTCTAATTTCATGTGCTCAAATGATTTTGGTTTTCGAGATATGGCGTGTTTTTTAAAATAGGAACCCCTGATGATGAGCCCAGTTTATCTTCACGGTTAGATTAAATGTCGCTGTTTTGGTACATGGTTTCGGAAGCTCTTTTTACGTTTAAAGATCTATTTGAAGCAACGTAGGTTCTAAGTTTCTAAACCATTATTACTACCGTTTCTTTTAGTTTTTTTTTAAGAATAATTATGACCAGAATGTTAATGTATCAACTTAAATTAGACCACTATATTTTCAGAAGAGACGGTGTGATAGCATGTCCCGTCATCTTGCTGTACATCGACAACAGCAGTATCCTTAAGTTTTTACTGCATATTATGCGATAGCAAGCTCAAAATTGAAATAATTCAATGGATAGTTAATACTCGGCGGCAAAGTAGAAACCGCAAGAGCCGATGTATTTTTTTGTGCATGAAAGCAATTGCTAGTAAGGTTCGTCCGAAGTATCGGAATGTATCGTTCAAGAAATGCTTAGGAACTATCGTAAAAGATGTAACTCAAGGATACCACCATCCTAAGGGGTCAATTAGTGTAGAAAATTGAAGCCTTAGTGGTCGTGATTCGGATTCCATCAAAAAATACAACTTTGTCCCAGTTTCGACAAAATTAGTCTGAAATTTTCAGTTTTCAGACCAAATGACAATAAGTGGCTGAATTCTCATTTCCAGTGCAATTTTTTACATTGTTTTAGCTTTTATAACAATTCACTCTTGCAGGTGTTAAGTGTCAATGATTGTAGTTTGTGTTGATAACCCGAAAATACATCGTGTTGATTTATATCCGTTTTGTTTCGATCATTTGAAAAATGGGGAGGAACTTTGTATTTGGGTGTGTTGTAGTTTTTTTGTGTTGCACGCTAAATCAGGTGCCATAATTAATCATCGGAATGGGTCGAGTGATGAATCATAATGAAGCCCATCCAGTCGTGATTCCAACGACATGAAAATGTTTTGAACAAATTTTCTCTGTGTCGAGAAGAACCGGTGTAAAATTTTTGATTTTTGGTCTTGTTTTGAGCGAATAAGATGAGCGAGGAAGCTTCTTTGTTTTTCAACCAAATATTTTACCACAATTAATCATCCAATTGCTTTGAGTGATATTTCATATTATAGCCCTTTCAATCCTGATTTGAACAACATTGAAATTTTGCGAAAATTTGTCCCAGTTTCAGTCAATTTCGAGTTTCAGTCAATTTTGAGCGATTAAAGCAAACGAGCAGGCTTATCAAAGAAGGATAAGCCATGAAACTTAGGTAAAAATAGTTTTGAAGTTTTTAGCGCCATTTTTGATTAAAAAATTTCGATACCAGACAATTTCGAGTTTCGATACTAGACAATTTCGATGCTGGACAATTTCTAGTTCCAGCCAATTTCGAGCGTTTAAAGCAAACGAGCAGGCTTATCAAAGAAGGATCAGCCATAAAACTTAATAAAAATATTTTTGAAGTTTTAAGCGCCATTTGTGAATAAAAAAAGTTTCAAAAACTCAAAACAATGTTTTTTTAGCCATTTTTTGACAAAATCTGATATGCCTACGTTTCTGTGGCTGTCGAATATATCTATATTTCAAGTTTTTAAATCCTTTGATCACACCACGAAAAAAAAACATTTATTAAGAAAAACATTTAAAAAAATTGGATGTAATTTTGGAAGTATATGGTCAGAAAATTCTGTGCTATTTGCACAGCAACCGGCTATTCTTGTTTTTTTTTATAGAAAACATTAAGAGCCTAATTTTATTTTTTTTTGTGTTCGGTTGCTAATTTATTACTTTTACTTTGGTTAGCCTTGAATGGATTTTTAATCGTCGACCTCAAGTCGTAGTCTACTAACAATCATTATAACGGCTGGTGAAAGCCATATAAGGTTTGTGGAACAAGACTGATGAAACAGTACTGGGAATTTTTCACCTCCACCTTTTGGACTAATACATCAAGTACTTAGCAAGTTTTATGTATTTTTACTATGCTATGCTCTATGCTATTTTTCTTGCTATGCTCTATATTCTTCCATATTGATATGGGTTGGGTACTGCGTCTTTTGGTTCGCACACAACGAGTGTTAGAGTCGAGAATCCGCAATGGTTCCTGAGAAGGCGATTCCAAGTTGAACTTGCAAGCACACATTTACAAACGCCTCCGATCTCTCAAGAGGCGCAGAGTGAACAGAAAATCAGTGTTTTTGATCAGAAGAAGTTCAGGACGGGCTTGAAATTCCTCGTATTACTACTTATTGTCCGAAATCTAACCAAACCCAGGCATCAGTGATCAAAAATGCTAACCATGTTATGTTCTGCTCTGCCGCTCACAATACTGCTGCGGTTGGATCCATTTGAAATGCAGCGGCTTCATTTTAACAACACCACAGACACTCCTACTGCACAAACTCTTACTACTACAAACTATTACACAAAGACGCCTACGCACCGGTCACTCTACACCCAACACCGCTCATCGACTGACCACCTACTCAATCTCCCACTCACACTAGACCGCCAACATCACAATCACATGCAACCCATTTCCCGGTCCACATCTCAATGTAAGACGCTCCACATTAACCAGAATCCCGGTCCAAAAGACCACAAACCGTCACTAAAGAACTTCCCTTCACCAAACCGCTACACTCAATACTCAAAACAATCAATTTCCTTACTCGAAATCCGCGAGAAACGGTCCACATAACTCTATCATCCCCATGACTTTCCTAACAGTTTTAGTTTGTTGGAATGGAATTGCAACGGCATCGGTGGTAAGGCACCTGATCTTGCCCTCTGCGTAGAAACAATCAAGATCCTTAGCAACAGCAAAATTCCCTTTCTTGTTAACAATAATTTTGTCTGCAACGACCTCGAAAAACGTTTGAGGACTCCTATATGCAATAGCCAAAGCTACTCCCTGCGAAACCGCACTCCCAACTCCAATTAGAATCTCAGAAATTAAACACCATCACTGAAGATGGAGAAATCTCCTTGACTAACTTCTACATAATTCCTCGATACTCATGCCCCAAGGCTAACAAGGAGGTTTATACCACCTAATACTTGACTCAAAAGGACTAGTATTCGGCGATGCCATGCCAACGCTCACAGTTCCCTCTGGAATTACAGAATTCCCGAAGACGATAGAGGACTACTGAAATCGGACGAAAGAACGGCTACCTATATCGCTCTCAACTCGGAAGAACAAACCCGCTCACTCAATTCACAAGAAACTTCCTCCCATTCTGTCTCCTTCGAATCACAGACTATTGCCCTATTTTTTTTTAATTCTTCCGAACATGTGAAAGATGGAGAGGAACTTAGTATTTGGGTGTGCTGTAGTTTTTTGTTTTAACTTGAGAAATTTGAAACCGGTTTGGAATTTTTGTTCTAATTTCGAACTAATATGGTGTGAGCGTGTAGGCTTATAATATTTTATTTAAATTTTGCTTTAAGCCGTGAAAACTAAATTGTACTCAAATAAAAGTAGTTTTTCATGTTTTATAGTGTCTTTTGTTACAAAGGTTAAAAATTCCAATTTTTTTTTTTGTTTTTTAGTCAATTTCCTTCAAAAACTGTTTTCCGAATGGACTTTTTTACTATGATTCTCAAATATGCCTAAGTTCTTTTTTTCGTTCACATCTTTTTATCACACGATGCAGAAAAAAAACGCCACTAATTTGAAAAGAAGTTTTATGTATTTTTCTATGCGTGTGGTCGGAAGATTCTGTGCTGCTTGCAGTTACAGGCTCTCCTTCTTATTAAGATTTTGGTGGCTTTTACACAAGGAGTTTCCTCCTCGAGTATATGTCAGAGCTTATTCAGTTTCTGATAATGTTTCTACAGTTGTTTCTTGTACAGTCTTAATGAGCACGCCATGTTCAGGTCAATTTTTCTTGATGACATCTTTTGCAAGTTTCCCAGAGCCATTTTAATGAGCGGTGTTTGAAGTCAACAATGCATCTAGTGTCAACAGAAAGTAAGTTTGCCCATCTGGTGGTGCGAAACCATAAGTATGTTCACATTTCTTGTTTTTGGGTCTTTCGCACTGAAACATATCGGAGGCAGCAGAACGGGTTAAGTAAGATAGAAGGTACAAAAAAATATTGCGCTAAATTAGCATCAAAATAAATGATAAGAGGTTTAGAAAAAGTAATCAAATATTAACGGAAAGTAATAGGTTAAAGGAAGAACATTGAAGAGTATCAGTGCTTGACGATAATTTAGATCTGGACAAGTCCAGCAGAAAAGTCTCTTCTGTACTGATTCGAGCATTCTCATGCATTCTTCATTCAGCTCCACACAAGAAGCGTAAGTCATAATCGGAAGCGCCATTTTTTTATATTTAACTTGATATAAGCAGGAATATTAGGAGAATTTCGTTTCACCTTAAACATAACCTTTTTCGCTTTGGTTATTACCTTTTCGATATGAGGTTTCCGCGACAGATTTCCATTACTGCAGATAAAAGGTGTGAATCAATACGTGTGAAGTTCTGATTTCTGAAAGACATAGTAACGTTTTTCTGTATTAAATGAGGTGCGATTATAAATAGTACATGAAAATACATAATTTAAATTTTTTTGGAACATCATTGTCAATAGTAAAGTTCAAAAATTTTGCGTCATCTGCGTTTCGTTTACCACTGCTTCACTGGTTGTGTAAATTTCAAGCATATCATTGACGAACTAGATAAACGAGAGCAGCAGGTATAGTGGCTTCTTGAGGTACCCCACTTCCTGCAAGAAAACAAAGTGATAATGAATTATTAATTTTTTACTCTCTGAGGGCGATAATGTAGATATGATTCAATTAGGGTAAGAAGTTATCCTCGAGTTCCATAGAAATAAAGTTTTCTTACTAGAAGATCATGGTCCACTCTGTAAAACGCTTTCTTAAATCGGTATATCACATCAACTGATTTCTTCTGCTCAATATCTTGGTATATAAGATCTAGATGTTTGAAAAGCTGTAAGATACAAGAGCGTCTTCTTCGAAACCTCTATTGTGCGTTATCAAAATAAGGATATAGGTGATAATAAAAAGCTAAGAAAAACAATACTCAAATGTTTTGAAGCCAAGTTAATGAGCGAGACTGGCCGGTAGTTGGAGACTGATTCTGTACTACCTTTCTTATGTATAGGGACAACTATGGATTGCTTCCAGCTTTCTGGATTTGTTGAGCCTTGGCTAAATTTTCTTAAATATTTGGCCGAGAGAATGCGACTGTGAATGTGCACAGTTCTTGAATTATCGCAGAAAGATCATCCGGGGAGATCGAATTATTTTTAATATAAAAGAAAAAATAGTTATCCATTTGCAATATTGGAGATCAGCCAAGTTTCTTTTATACACAGCACTTTATAATAATTCGATTACACTAAATGGACAGAAGTTTTCTCCTCTGGTCATTCAGTAGACACAAAGATAGTTACTTCTGCTGATAGTGTTGTTTTGGCTCTAGTAATAGTCACTGAACTTGTGTTTTCTCGTTATTGCAGTAAAGTTCAAGATATCGAATTCTGAGATTTGCTGGATTTTCTCTGATTTTTTTCAAGTTCGCGCCTTTTGATAAGTAATTTACGTTCTTTTTCCTGTTCGCTTTTGCTCAGTGACTAAGCAACAAATACGCGGTAACGTGGTCCTGGTAATGCCCAGTGTAAGGAAGGATTCTTGCAAAATTAATATTTGGAGTCATCTTTTTATTGGTAGATTTCTGAGCTGGATATCGGTTAACCTTAATTCTCGCCTTTTCAAGGTATTTTTTGGTC